ATAACATAGCATAACATAAACATATCAACTAGCATAAGCACATATACTGCATACTGCATCGGACCGAAGTCCGAAACACATAACACAAAGACATGCTTGAATCACAAAGACATCAAGCACACTGAACTACTGCATCGGACCAAAGTCCGGAACTACTGCTAACTATACGGTTCGGCATTGTGGCCGTAGACCCATTCCTACTAGAAGGGAACTCACCTCGTAACGTTGGTTGCTGAGATGCTAACTCTAACACTGGCTAACTGCTGCTTCGGAACTGTCCGGCTACAAATCCCAAAAACACTAGGTCGGGTACTGATAAATGCCCTTTAGGTAAAATGACTATTTTACCCCTGGTCAAAGTCAACCTCCAGTTGACCCGACTCGCTGGGTTAGGGTGTAGACTCTCCAAGTCCCTCCATTACTAACTCTAACTTTAACTCACCGAGTCCCTTCCCCACTCACTCATTCAATTTGAGCTCACCAATCAAGGAAATACGGGGGACTCGCGACTCGACTCGTCGAGTCCTAAGCATGCAGATCCCATACAGTCGATTAAAATCTATTTCAGAGCATCTAACTCATAGATCTAAGCTCCTGGGACTATCTGAACACATAAAGTTGTTAAATTTACGTGTAACTAAAAAGAAATGAAGTTATTTCACTCAAACTCTACTATTATGGGGTCAATAAGCCAAAACAAAACCATGGCTGCCAAAAAGGTGATCTCCTTGAGCTCCTGGAGCCCTAGATAGGCTAGATCTGATGTATAACTCGATCATAAGGCTTTATCACAAAGGATTTGAGGTTTTTGAGCTTAATACCAACAATTTGGGGACAAACTAGATCTATTAGATCAATAAGCAAGATGGAGACTTTATTACCTGCAAAGATGACCACAAAGGAGTATGTTTTGGATCTACTTCTTCTTCCTTGAACTGTTCAACCTTCTCCTTCTTCTACTTGCTCCAAAATGCACCAAAAGCTCCTTCACAAAGCAACAATCACTCACACACTCATTAAGGGGGCTAGGGTTTGGTAAGAAATGCTATGAGGGTGATGGAGGCGAAGTTAGGATGCAATAAGATGTTTACATAGGGTGCAAACCCTTAAAATTAGGGCTTCATCCAGACAGGTGGACTCTACGAGTCCCAACATATGGACTCGTCGAGTAGCCAGCTCCATTTGTGTGATCATCCCGTCTCTACTTGACGAGTCGGGCTACATACTCGTCGAGTACCCCTTAGGAAATGAAAATACCTTATTTAAATTACATACCAGAAATGGAGCGTTACAATACTTTAAAAAATGGTCCCTCCCATGATTGTCATATGGCTCTGTGGGCCACTATCATGGATCATTAACAGTAACATACTTTAAAAAATGGGCTAAAAGTAGGATCACAAACAACTAGATTGATTTTGGGCTTGAACAGTGATTTTTTGAGATTCAATTCCAAAATAAATACGATGAATAGTAAATCGAAAAAAAGAACACGATTCCATAAAATCGAGTGACATACCAAAATGGTTCGAATTGTGAAGAATTATCACATCATGGATCGTTCCATGAAACAATCATTTGAATCTTAATGGTTTGACTCTAACACCAATTGTTAGGATATGAAACCCGAATTTGACATGTAGAATAGTAAGAACACAACGGCACGACGATTTGGGTGCTAAAAAAATATATTCGATCATAATGAGGAGTTACAAAAAGGAACTATATATAATCTAAATAATCTACTTAACTCATATCTCTCATTGATTACATCTCTCAAGCACACTCAACAATAAATATGCCAATCACTATTTATATGTGCATGTACAAGTCTCTCTCTCTATCTCTCTCTCACTCTCTCTCTCTCTCTCTCTCTCTCTCTCTCTCCGCCTCACACACACACACACACACAAGTCATAAGGCATAAAACCCACATGTCTAAATGGATCTTCCAAGTCTTTTCTTTGTCATCCTCCACGAAGAACTTTGCATCCTAATAGAGACCATCGATTCAAGATGCAAGGAAGAGAATGAAGGGATTTAGTTTTCTTAGTCTATTTTTTGGGTTTTGGGTTCATTTTCCCTTTTTTAATTTCCACGGGGAGTGATTTGCGCTCGTCCGATTGATGAGCCTTCTAGCTTAGTGGAAAAAGTATTCAAGATGCAAAGAAGAAAAGAGATTGGAATTGGTTTTCTTGTTTTAGGTTTCTATCATGGTGAAGCATGATGTCATTGTTGGCAAATAAGAAAAAACGATGAACATGATGGGAAGGTCTTGAACACGATGTCATTGTTGGCAAATAAGAAAAAACGATGAGCATGATGGGAAGGTCTGGAACACGAGGAGACGCCATTGAGAGAGAAAGGGATATACACTTAGGTTTTATTATTATTTTTTATTTTGTAAATTAACATTAAAAGATAATCCACCTGCACCATATATTCAAAAACACAATTGAACATGCCCATTTTAATGAGGTGACGAAAGGGTAACCGATTTACCCGTTGGTAATATCAAAAGTCAACATTTAAATCCAACCAAACCTAACTTGTTTCCCAAGAGTAAAATAAAGATAAGGTGAATTTTGAAAATAAATGAAAAAAGTTTATAGGGTTAATATATATATATATATATATATATATATATATATATATATATATATATATATAGGGAGTGGTTCAAATAAGAACCAAAAAAGGTTAAGAACCGTAAGAACCTCTTACTTTAAATGTTTATAAAGGGTTTAGGGTTACCCTAAACCCTAAACCCTAAACCCTAACCCCTAAACCCTAAACCCTAAACCCTAAACCCTTTATAAACACCCTAAACCCTGTATAAACATCTAAAATCAGAGGTTCTTACGGTTCTTAATCTTTTTTTGTTATCATTTAGACCTTTACCTATATATATATATATATATATATATATATATATATATATATATATATATATATATAGGGAAAAGATCAAATGAGAACACATAAAAGGTTGAGAACACGAGAACAAGTATATTCATTTCTGATTCCATGTATTCATTTGTGGAGAAATGATAAATTTTTACGCATAATCAACATGAATATTATTTTCTCTTCAATTGAAATTAAATGCGTAAAAATTTATCATTTCTCCGCAAATGAATACAGGGAATCGCAAATGAATATACTTTGTTCTCGCGTTCTCAACCTTTTTTCTGTTCTCATTTGATCCTACTCCTATATATATATATATATATATATATATATATATATATATATATATATATATATATATATATATATATATATATATATATATATATATACATACATATAGATGTTGGTTCCCTTGAGAATAAAAAAAAATTAGAGATTGTGAGATATGTGTATAACTGTTTGATTTGCTTATGTTTGTTTCTGAAGCTATGCGGTCATATATTTGTAATTATGTTTGTAACTTATTAAACTAACGCCGTTAATTTACGATTGTGGGCTATTGTTGTAATTTTACAAAGACTGATATGAATTTTGCAGGCTACAATACTATAACTGCCTGTTGTTTTCTTTTCTTTCTCGTTCGAAGTCTCAATTCGAACTCTCAGGAAACCCTCTTTTTCTTTCTTTATCTCATTTTGCCCTAGTTTTCGTTTCTTACCTGTATTGAGAAATCAGTAAATGTCTTCAGGAGAAAATATAAACGAAGTTGCATCTTCCTTAATCGAAATGAAAGGTTAGAATGCGATTTATTTTTCATTTTATTGATAATGTATGTTTTTATTAATTAGTTAACTATCGTTTTATGTTGATAATGGTGTTTTTTGTTTTGATTTAGTAGGTTTTTCGTCATTTTAACTTGATTTTGATGATTGTCTCGTTTAGAGTTGATATGTTTTTTATTATGTTTGTTTGTGGTGGTTTTTGATGTAAGTTCTTGTTTATATTTTCACAGATAAGGATTTCAAAAGAAACTATGTTCGAAAAAAATTCAAAAATCAGAAAAAATATCGAATGCGATAGAAGTGTTGTTATTTCCGAAGGTACGGTTCAAAAAAAATCATCTATGATTAGAAGTAGAAATAAACATATAACTTAATGTTTGAAGTTATTTGTTGTAATCATAACTGATTTTTTTATTTTTTCGGTGTATTGAACATAACATCTAGTTATATGTTTATTTTTACTTCTAATCGATTTTATACGTTTGTTTATAATCATTGGTAACTAGTAATGATAAATGTATTTTTATGTATCAAACATGAATATAAAGTTATTTTTGTAATCATAACTAATTTTGTGGTTCTTTTAAGTGGATTGTATATTACATTTAGCTTGTATTTTTATTTGTTCTTCTGTTTATAATCATTAGTGAATAGTAATGATAAATGTATGTTTTATTTTTTACTAACACTGTTTTTGTAATGAAAATTGTATTTAAAAAAGGGAATGTAGATGGCTCAAGGAAGACATGGTCATCTTCCAAATGAGAGAAGGCGAATGAGGTGTCACAAACACATTCAAAGACATCCAAAAAAAACAGTTATTGAACAACCAAAAGTGAAGCTGAGGGTTAAGGTCAAAACTGTAAGTAAGAAACGTGAACTATCTGATGAAGATGATTCAGATTTTCAAAGTCGTCCTGGATCTTCAAAGAAACCAAAGAGAGAAACTAAATTTTTGAAGAAAGATAAAAAAAAGCTGTTGTTATAAAAGAATTTACTTCACTGAAGAATAGATGTTCACCTGGGTCATTGTTGGGTGTTATTCAAGGTTTAAGTAGAGAACAAAAGGATTGTGTTAGGGTTATGGTATTTGGGAGTTTGTTAGGGATGAAGATGATTGACGTACTGTTGAAGATTGTTTATTATGTTCTTGATCATTTTAATTTTGAATCTTTGAAGGTGGAGTTTGATAATTGTGAAGTTAGTGTTGATAGTAAGTCTGTTCAAGAGATGTTAGGATTACCATCTGGTGGCTCATTACTTTCAAACATGGATTAAATTTCGGAGAATAATGAAGAGAGTTGTATGTTTGAGTGGAAGAAACAGTTTGAAAATATTGATAAATTCAGATTGAAACAGCTAAAGAATGAACTTGTTCAAACTAGTGCTACTGATGACAACTTCAGAATCAATTTTTTGGTTCTTTTTATTAGTACTTTCTATGAGTCTACAAGCATGTGTAAATGTAATCTGAATCCATTGTATTTAATCAGAAGAGATACTGATTTAAGTAGCATTGACTGGTGCGATTACATTATGGATTGTTTGGTAAGGACGAAGAAGGTTTACAATCCAGAGAAAGAATCTTCTTTCTTTTATGGACCAGCAGCATACCTTATGGTACGTGAGTTATTTTTTGATATTTATTATTCTTGTTAGTTGTAAAAATATGTTTGTTTTTATAATAAATCGTATATGATTTTATTACATATAATCATATACGATTATGTAGTATAATATTTGTTTAATTATATATTACACATCAAAATCATATATGATGTTATATATGTTATAATTTTATATATGTTTTTTTTAGTTGTTGTATGTGGATACTTTCAAGTTTGATCATTTGCAAGTCACACGTAAACATCTAACTATTTTTTATTGGATGTCAGAGAAGATAAGGTTTCTTGAGGATATTTTACAAGAGAGTGGAGGATTTGGATGTGGACATGTTAATGAAGCATATGTTGAAGAAGAATTTCAAGAATCTGAGTATAATGAGGAGGAATCTAGTGGTGATGAGGTTGAATCTGATGTTGAAGAGGATTTATGTGATGAGGATGAAGAAGATTTTGATGTTAATAAAGTTAGTGATGTGGAGGTAATTCTATAGTTTTATTCATTTATGATTTAATTAGTTTATTCATTTATGACTTTTTATGTTTAAGTATTTTAGTTCTAAGTATCTTTTTTCTTATGTAGGTGTATGAAAGTAAAATTTCACGTATGTATTAGAAGATGGAGGATTTGAAAAAGGATCTTGTTGTAAAGATAGATGAGGAAGTGTTGAAGTTTCCTCAAAGTCAGGTTTTGAAAAATTGGAAATTGTTATTTCCTGTTGAAGATTTAAGCACTGAAAGTTTTGATTTCCGTTATGTTTCACAAAAATATAAAGAACCGATATTAACACCTGGTTTGTTCAAGTTAATGATGAAGATTATGGGAATAATTTTCGTAATGATAATGAAAATGTTGAAGATTATGATCAAGGGAAATGTTTTGGTGGTCAGGGGGATGGAAGTGGTCCACATGAGGGCAATATTGGTAAAAATCACGTTGAAGGTAAAGGTGATTATGATGAATATGATGAACAAGGAAGTGGAAGTGGATGTAATAAAGAAGAGGATATGAATTTAAATTTTGTTGTAGAAAATGTTACTAAGAGTGTGGGTCTAATTGATAGCCAGGAAGGTGTATCTTTTAGTCAATTTATTTGCGATCTAGTCGTTGAAATTTTTCTTAAAACTTTGGATCAAGGTAGGCATAATTTGACTGGTATTGATGATGGTAAGTATTTATTTATGTATTTTTAATACATAAAATATATATAAATATGTTATATAGATGATTCATTTATGATTTTAATAATTTAGGGACTGTAAATTTGGGTGAGGATGATCATAAGAATAAAGTAATTTCAGATCGTAGTGTTGATAAAATTATTGTAGTAAAGAAGGACGGAGAAGGTGAAGATGTTGAAGATTGTTCAAATAAAAATAAAGATGGAGGTAATTTGTTTATAATTATTGCTTATTCATATGTATTTGTGTTTATAATTATTGTTTATTCATATATGATTTTTATAATTTTATTGGGTAGAAAATGTTGAAGATTGTGCAAATAAAAACAATGATTCAAATAAGACTCGATCATTGAAAAATGATCTTGTTCAAAGTTTTAGTCTTGGATTTAGTCAAGATTCTGAAGGTTCCAAGAAGTCATCTCAAAGTCAAATTTCTTCTGAACGGATGACAAAGAAAAAGATTAAGGATAGAGTTATTTTGGGAATATTTTGGGAAACCCAAGTGCTAGTCTAGAGTGTGTTATTCCAAATGCAGATGTTATTGATGCTAGTCCAGTTTCTTTTGCACCCCCTTTGGGTACATTTGAAGGACCATCAAAACTTGTTTCTTGCAAACATAAAGATATAAAGGAAGAAGCAACCTCAGTAGTGGATGTCAAAGGAAAGAGACAAATGAAATTTTCTTATGTTTATAAGTCACCATTTAAGGAAAGGTTGATTGATTTTAAAACTTGTTTGACACAAGTAGAAAATGTTGTTTGTGAATGGCTTTTCAGTCTTCAAGGAAATCTAGGGTAATTTTTTTTAATTTAGTTTTTTATTTTTATAATTATAATTTTTTCTTTTAAATAACATTTAAATAAATATATACAGAGATATTGTATTGCTTATGGAAACAAATGTTATTGGGTTTAGAGCTAATTATGAAAGTCTTTATAAAAAACCCATTTGCATGTTAGTGTTCTTGACTCATGGTCTCGTATACTAAATCACGAAGAGAAATTCAGAGATATTGTTAATTCTCCACTCAGATTGTTCATGAATTTTGACACTGTAAGTTTTTATTTTATTATTAAATATTTACATGTTATTATATAATCATTTATGATTTTCTTATATTACAGACTTTGTTATTTGAATATACTCATTTGAATGAAAGTGGAAAATATAAAGTTTTCAAGGAGAGGTTTTCTCGCAGTGTTTGTGGTGATAGAGACTTGAAGGTTTTAAAGGATGTTGATATGGTATATTTATTTTTTTATACATTTATATATACATACATAATATATATATATATATATATATATATATATATATATATTATTTCTAATATTATACATGTTGATGTTAGGTATTTTTCCCGGTTTTGAGGCATGAGCACATATATCTTATTGCTATTAATCTGAAGAAACGTGCTTTTAAGGTTATTAATAATGGTGCAGATGATGCTGATTTCGATGATAAGTATGGTGCAGTTTTTAAACCTCTTGTAAGTTTCAAATTATATTTATTCTTTAAATTTGAAATCATATATGATATATTTTATAATTATTATACTTATATTTTTCTGACTTGAAATCATATATGATTTTCAGAAAAAGTCTTTTTTGAAGTATCTAAAAGAGATCGGTCATGTTAAAGCAAATGAAATGGCTGATAAAAGTATTACTCCAGTAAGATTGACAATGCCATGGAGGATAATTTATAATAAAGTGGATTGTGGAGTTTTTGCTATGAGACATATGGAGAGTTATTTTGGAGAAAAAGGTTCTAAATGGAAATGTGGTCTTCCAAAAGAAGGTGGTTCTCAAGAAAAAATTCTGGAAAAGTTGAGGTTCTAAATGGAAATGTGGTCTTCCAAAAGAAGATGGTTCTCAAGAAAAAATTCTGGAAAAGTTAGAATGAAATATGCAGCAGAAATCTTAACTTCTGAGATTAATACAAAGCGTGATGATGTGTTGAAAGCTGCATATGAGTATCAAAAAGTTGATCAAAAGATTCGTGGTAAGCATGCATATGATGCTCAATGGAATATAGAAAGAAGGTTGTCAAATTTTTTTTGATTGAATATTTTCTTATTGATGATGTTATAAGAACAAGGTTGTTTATGTTGTGTATGTTATGGATATTGTGAAGAATGTTTGTTTTTATGATGATGGAAAACATGGTGATGGAAAACAAGTTAATATGTATTTTGGTAGATTTTATTATCTAAGTTTGTTTGTGTGAATTATGTTATTGAATGTTAATCATTAGTGATTATGTTATATTTTTATATGTAATTTATGTTTTTACTATTGATTATATGTTGCTTATATGTAATCATTAGTGATTGTATTGATTATTTTTTTTATTTTTTTGTAATAATAAATTATTATATTTGTTGTACAACACATTATAATTTATTATATATTTTTCTTGATAAGTGAGTTTATCTTTACTGCATGGAATACATCACCATGCAGAATCTTATCTTTGTAAGATTTTATTTTTGTTTTTTAATGTTTGTACTGAAGAATCTTTTCTTTATAAATGAAAACTAAAGTTGGTAGCCTCATGCTATGCCTTGTATTTCTTCAAAGATGGGTCCTTATATTTCCAAATGGTTAGTTTTGTTTATTAATTTCTTCAATTTTTATATATCACCATTATTTATTTATGATCTAAACAACTTCCATTTTGTTTCAGGTAAAATATGAAGTCTATAAGTCTAAAAGAACTTTTTGTTGTATCTAATAACATGTTCCCCATTTTTTCAAGATTCTTGTTCTTTTATTTGTAGCTAGATTTTCATACGGATTGTAGCTGACTCCAAGAATGCCTCTTCCACCATTACATAAAAAGTTTATCTTCATTGAACATATCAGATCTTTACTAGATGTCTTTGAAGTAGAGGAATGTTGTTCATTTAAAGAATATTTCTTTTTAATGAACAACATTTCTCTACATCAGATATGTAGTAAAGATTTGTTAGGTTCAATGGAGATAATCTTTCTAAGTAATGGTGGAAGACTTCTTGGAGTCAGCTACAATCTGTATGAAAATCTAGCTAGGAACATGAAGAACAAGAATCTTGGAAAATGGGGAACTTGATATTTGAGACTTGTGAAATTGTTTGTTATTGAATATTTTATCATGTTTGGTGTTATTTTATGATGATCAATATTGTTATCTTTATATTTTTTTAGTAGCAGTGTTGTATATTTGTTAGGAACAATGTTGTTGTATATGGTTATATGTAATGGTTAGATGTTTTTTTTTATGTGTAATCATATTTTTAATCACTTATGATTAAACAAAACATATGAAGTAGTATTATATAATATTTTATGATTTTACAGATGAATATTGTATATGGTTATGTGTAATGATTACATGTATTGAATAATAGTTATATGTAATCTTAAATGCTTGTAGTAACATTTAATAAAAGTTTAATCATGAATGAATATATTATCAAATCAGAGAAAGAATTATCAATGTAGATTAACTCCAGAAGACAAAATCATAGTAAATTCTATTTTATAAAAAGAGTAAAGTGTACTAAACAAAAAGTATATTATTTTGAAAAAAAAAATTATGACTTATTCATTACTGATTAAAGCAGTGAATATCTATGTAGCTTTTGATGATTGTTCTGCTGCAAGTTTGATTTGGAATGTCCACAAGTTATGAGGAGCCCTTTCTCCACATCCTGAGCATCTTCTTGTTTGCTTGTTTGAATTTTTATACGCTATTTCTGCTGCACTTTGAATTCTATTTTTCTTTCCGCATCCTTTATTGCTTTGAACATTTGGAACATTGATGTCAATGTCTTTTGGAATAGTTATGCCCATAAGCTTTCCTACCTCTTCAACATATGTCCTATTTTTTTTGCAATTCATTTGTAGGATCGTTTTCATATTCCTTCAGCATGCTTTCTGTTTTCTTAACAAACAAATCCATTTTTTCTTTATTTTTTCTTACGTATTCCAAACATGCTTCAAAGTTGTAGTATGCTTGATTGACAGATTTATTAATTTCACTGTCTCCTAAATCATATACATGTCTACCAAAAATTATAATGCCTTGGTATCACATCCTTTCTCCAACGATTCTTAATGTATTGTTCAGGTATCTCCTTAATTCCATGTTTCATGAGTATGTTGAATGCATGTCTGCACAAAGTCCCAAAGTGGTTGAAGTGTTCACATGTACATTTTACATCATTTGTTGGAAGTTTATTTCCACCCGTTCAAAATAAAATTAAAGCATTAAGTGCTTTATAATCATAAATGAATACTTTTTTTATATTATGTGTTGATTCAACAAAAATTAAAATAAGAATATATTACCTCAAATTCTGTTTTTAGATCACTGTTTTTGTTCAGTTGTTCCACTTTGTATAACTCACATTCATTTTTTGTTGCAAGATGTTCGTATTAGCAGTACCAGGAACCTTTATAGATTTCTTTCTGTACTTGTATAAACTTTTGCAGCATTTTTTGTATTAGTCGTGGTGAAATAAATTTATATACTGCCTTCTTTGTTTGATGATCAAGCTCTTGTTGTGTATTTCGTTGTTTTTGAATTGTTGTGTCATAGTTCATCATGAAATGTAAAAGTAAATTTAAAGATTGAGAGTAAGTGTTGAAGAAGGAATTCATGCTTTCTGATCTTGAAGTGGTTTTCATCAATCCAGACATTCTTGTGTCACTGAAGTATGCAGGTATCCATTTGTCACGTAATTCAAACATATCATTAAACCATCTTTTATCTTCCAGATTGAATTCATTAATAATCAAATCCCACTTCTTTTCAAATTCATCAGGTTTGATATGCATGTTCCAAACAAGCTTGTTAAATCTTTTCTTGAAGTCTTTATTTTTAAATAAATCGCCAGTAATCTGTGAAATAACAATATTGCTTATATAAGTATAAATTATATACCTATTTCGATATATCATATATGATTAATCATATATGAGATTAATATGATTAATCATATATGATTACGGTAATATAGGATATACCATCTATGATTAATCATATATCATACTGTAATCATATATGATTATTTAATCATATATGATTAATCATATATCATATATGTACTGTAATCATATATGATTACTGTAATGTAGGATATATCATGTATGATTAATCATATATCATATATGTACTGTAAACATATATGTTTAATCATATATGATTAATCATATATCATATATGTACTATAATCATATATGTTTAATCATATATGATTAATGTAATTTAGGATATATCATCTATGATTCATCATATATCATATATGTATTGTAATCATATATGATTATTTAGTCATATATGATTAATCATATATCATATATGTACTGTAATCATATATGTTTAATCATATATGATTAATCATATATGATTACTGTAATGTAGGATATATCATGTATGATTAATCATATATTATATATGTATTGTAATCATATATGATTAATCATATATCATTAATCATATATCATTAATCATATATCATTAATCATATATGATTATATTGTATCATCATAATCATAGTATGATATATGATAACTTATATTATTATAATTATATATGGTTAATCATATATAATCATATTATTAATATACTTAATTATATATCATTATATCAATCATATATGATTAAGTATTTTTTTAATAATAAGATTATATATCATATATGATTATATACTGTATTATCATATTACATACTATGTAATCATATATGTTTATACAGTATGGTATCTAATAATTCATATTATTAGAATAGTTAATCATATATGATTAATTATATATGGTTATATAGTATGATATCTGATAAGTCATATATGAATCATCTGTCATAATACTATATAATCATATATGATTATATAATGTATTTTTTTTATACCTTTGCTTGCAGTTTTTTCACTATGTGCCACATGCATAGTCTGTGTCTTGAATTTGGTAAGATAGATTCCCCTACTTGTTTTATTGCTGCATCTTGATCAGTTAGAAAATTTTTTGGTGATTTCCCTTCATGAGCTCTAAGAAAAGCTTTAAGCATCCATTCATACGACTCAATTGTCTCTCTACTTAGCAACCCAACACCAACAGTAACTGATTTCTTGTGGTGGTCAACTGCTGTGAATCGAACAAATACCATTTTATACCTATATAAAGAAAATGTGTTTAGTACAATCATATTTGATTAATAGTATGTTTGAATTTATATACATTAACTTACTTGTTTGTTCTAAAAGTTGCATCAAAAGGTATAACTTCTCCAAACTCTACATAAAAAGCCTTTTCTCTTTCATCTGCCTAAAACATAGCAGCCAACGGATCTCCATCACGTAGGAACTCAAATGAATAATTTGGGTAATGATCTCTATGATCATTCATTTTGTTTATCATTATTTGAGCATCCTTGTAACATAAGATTCTATTTACTCCTCTCCTCAAGTTTTTGTAGTATGTTACCTTCGCCCCTACATATTCATATCCTCCTTTCAAAACTGCTCGTATTTTGTGAGCCATTGTCGGACCAATTTTAGCTTTTGATGCACGTACTACAAACTCTTTTCAGAATATGACATCTTTCTTGCCTTTTTCGTATAAGGTCTTTCCTCAATACTTTCCAGTGGGTGGTTGTGTATTTCAAATAATTTCTTAACTTTGTAATCTGTTGTTCCATAAACATTTTCAAATATAATCTTTGTTGTACACCCACTAATTATCTTATTTGAATTTGGTTTCCTCTTGACAGAACTTGTAGCCAACGTATCACAAGGTTTTGGTTTATCCTTGCCACCCCTATTGCATATAACATATTTTTCTTTTATTATTTGGCTATTGTATTTTGATTGACTACTCAATCTTGTACGAAAACCTGCCATTTCTGCATAATCAGTATACATTTTTATTGCCAAATTTAGTGATTTGAAAACACTGTTTACAACTGGTACAAATTCTGTAGGGACATCTGGTTTATATTCAGATTCTTCAATTATGTTACTGCAATATTATTCATTTGTTGAATTGGAACTTTCACCTGATAAAAGAAAAGAATGACAAATATGTTATTATATAATTTTATGTTGTAATAATCATATGTGATTAACGATATGTATTTATATTTTAGTATAAACAATCATATATGATTTTAGATATTAATATATTATTAGATGTTAAATCATATTTATTTGTACATTGTATTATATGATTGATCATATAATATACTGTGTAATCATAAATGATTATACGTATCAATTTATAAATAATCATACTTGATATTGTTTAATCATGTATGATTAATCATATGTATTTGTAGTTTGTAATATATGATTAATCCTATTTTATGATGTATAATCATATATGATTATTCATCCAAATGTAATATTAATATAGATTTCAATTTGAAAACATATATGATAAATCATAATTACAAACTATAAATACATATGATTAATCATAGATATGAATAATCATACCTTATATGATTAAATCACATATTGTATTGTATAATCATATAGGATTATTCATAATTTATATTATATAATAAAAGAATAAGAATGAAATGTAGAAACTATCATGTAATATGTAGTATTAAAACGAATTAGTTGTACCTTCAATACGAATCGTAGTTTGAAGTTCTTCAGAAGTGAAAGAAATTGAATCGATTTGTTCGTCGTTAGGAGATGAATTGATTTCAGCTATAATAGTATCAGTTGCGATCGACTTGTCAATTTCTTTTGGATGCGACATTATTTACGAAAATTGATTTTGATTCGATTTTCAAATGCTTTGTTTACGATTAAGAGGTGCTTGTTTCTTCGATTTGTGGTTTGTATCTCGTATTTATGAGGATATGAACTGATGCTCTGTTTCGATGGTTTTTTTTTATATGAAGATTGCGAATAATTTGATAACAGATTCAGTAAAAATATGATCTTTTTTATTATATTGAATGAGTTGTTGAAGATTTGATGATATGATTACGTAACTGATACTGAAAATCGATGATTTAGCGATATGATGATTTTTAGAGAAGGAAGGTGTCCGCTTTCTCAACATTAATTTGAACTTTACTATTATACCCCTTAATCATTTAACAGTTGACGTTAAGTTTCATTGGCTGATATTTAATCTCACAATCTCTAATTTTTTATTAATCTCAAGGAACCATCCCATATATATATATATATATTATATATATATATATATATATATATATATATATATATAATATATAATATATATATATATATATATATATATATATATATATATATATAATAAAAACCCTAATTTGATTGTATCCGCAAGTTTCAAACCTCTTCCTAACAAGTAACAATGGTGTTTCCAACTCTAGTACTAGTCATGAGGCAGCTGTATTAAGAACATAGAATTCGATTGAAGTGTCCTTCGTCTCTATGGCGCAGATTCTAAGTATAAGCCACCCAAGTTCTTCCAAATCTCTAGCAATTGGATATCGTGTTGCTCTCTCAGATGCTCAGTCAATCAATTTGACTCGCCGCCGCCGTCAAGAGTCGAGCCATAGCTGGAATTCTCTACAGCGTGACCTAAAATCTAATGGAAGAATCTATTGCCTATTCTCTGATAATCGTAGCAAGGTATTATCACTTAGAAACGTTTTGCTTATTCCTTCAATTATACTGCATATACTTTCGTTTGTTCCAATTTCATTTTTTACCCAACAAGCCAACACCTGTTGTGATTATTGGTGTAGAATCACTCTGAATTGAAAGTAACGTTATCTCCTCATGCCAATTTCGATAGAACGATTTTCAAATCCATCGACAAAATCTGTATATGAGAATGCTTGCACTAAGTCAGATTTATAGATTTTTTTTGCATATACTTTAGATAGAAAACTTGGGTGGACTCTCTTTTAAGAATTATTAAACCACAAACCGGGAAATCGGGAATTTTGTACTCAAGTCAAGGACAAGCTCCATAAATTCATCTACGAAATGCATCCCAAGGATTCTGCAAAAGTAAAAGCTACGAAAGCTATTGTGTTGCTATTTAAAGGTTCAATCAAATTCATGGAGTAATAATGTGTAAGGTGATAGAGAGATTCGCAGTTTGGACACTGGCTATAACGACCAATGATAGACACATACCACATGTGTCAAATGACTCATTTGCCCTTCTTCAGTTTCTTGTCATTTCACATTTTACTTTTGTACATCATTTGTTGCAGGATCAGGCCAAGAAAGCACTAGAAAGTGCACTTGGTGGCAAGAAAATGGAGTTTGAGAAGTGGGACAAGGAGATAAAGAAGAGGGAGGAGGCAGGTGGCGGCAATGGTGGTGGTGGTGGAGGGTGGTGGGGCAGGTGGTTTGGTGGGTCAGATGGTGAACATTTCTGGCATGAAGCACAGCAAGTCAGTCTTACCCTCTTGGTACTAGCTGTCATGGTAAAAAAAAAAAATATTCTTTACCTCTTTATTAGATTCCATTCTTTCACATTTGCATTAATAAATGTATGTTCATATTACAATTTCTTTACATTATTGTATGCTGTTTCTTCATATTTGAAATTTTGAATTCTGTTTTTTGTTTACATTTGCAGACTCTGATACTTGCAAAAGGTGATGTATTGTTTGCGGTTGTACTCAATCCGTTGCTATCATTTTTACGGGCCCCACGAAACGGATTGCGATACATTACATCGAAAATCAATAAAAATGGATCTCCTCAACAAGAAACATCATATGTTGCTACTACTTCTGCAAAGGAGTCTGTTATTAGCAAATGGGCTAGTGATTCTTAGTATTTTTTTTTTTCTAGTTTATTGTTTTTAAATCCACAATTAAAAAAAAAAAAAGAGTCAAATTCCATTTTGATTTTGCGGAAAATGCTAAATGTCATGAGTTTCATCATATATGGTTAAAAAAATTTGAAATCGTGTTTGTGGTTGAAATTTGATGTCGTAAAAAAGTATATGGGCCAAATTTAACTAGTGCAAACATGCAACGATTCATAGTATTTTGTTTGAGGTGTACCAATCAACATTATGTGTTAATAATATGTTATTGCTGTTATTGATATTGCGGATTGTTTTATGTTTATATGGTATTTTAATTTACGAATATGATCCGGTATTTTCAGCTTTTTGACATTCGGGTCGATCACAGTTTACTCATGCTTTTTGTCAATATACATTATTACTTTTTAGAGGCCATATTCATAAAAGTTGACAAACTATAGGGACTAATAATGTAACTTATCCAATAATTGCAGATCCGCTCAAAGTTGGCCTCACATTTGTTTAGAACCTTCCCTTAAAAACCAACCAGATTTTTATTTGTTTAGAAGTGTTTGTTCAAAAAGTTGTTAAAAGTGTGTGAAGTTATATAAAAGGTAAAAGGTAAAAGGTAAAAGTTTTATAAACCTATTTTAAATTATTTTTGGAGTATGACAATTTTATTTATAATAGAAGTTTTAATTCTGTGTTGCCGAAAAATATTTTCTTTATAATATATATATTTTTTTAGTCTAAAAAATGGGCTAAAAACCGTTACCCTTAAAGTCTAACCTACCCCAAAATATATGTATATTTTTTCCCAACATGATTTGTGGGTGTTGAGTGTTTATTATTGTATTTAATTAACTAGGGTTATGACCATCCGCACGTTGCTGCGGAAGCTCCAGTATGTTAAAAAATGCAGTTTGATACCATATATACAACGAAAACGATTAAATCATATAAAATGGAATACAAAAATATCAAAATAAAACATGAATACAAACAATTGATTTGAAAGTGTATCTTTAAGAAATTAATAAAAAAAAGATTATTAAAAAATTATATAAGGAGCCAAAAGATAACTTTAAAATATAGTAAGTGACAAAATTATAATGTATAAAATACTCATAAATTAACTTTAAAATTATAAGGGTTGAAAACTGTTATATAAAAATTAATTAAGGAGAAAGAGTATAAATATATATAATTTTTAAAATTATAAGGATAAAAAATTGTTACATCAAAAATTGTTTAGGGGTATAAAATATAAAACAAATAAAAGTAAAGGGTGGAAAATGAAAAAAAAATTAAGGATAAAAAATGTTACATAAAAATTAGTTTAAGGGTATAAAATATAAAAACAAATAAAAGTAAAGGGCGGAAAATGAAAAAAAAATACATCAAAATTAGTAGCGGTACAAAATATAAAAACAAATAAAAATAAAAGGTAGAAAATGAAAAAAAAAAAAAAAAAAAAAAAAAAATTGAAAGTATGAAAGTATGAAATGTGCTTACGTGGAATGAATAGTAAATCCTTACATACCAATTTTGGTAATTAATATATATCCTTCTTAATAAATGAATGTTTTTTTTACCACATGTCAATCTCTTATGAGTTTTGATACTTGTCATTTTGTGATATTTTTGAAATAAATACTATACACTTGTCAATTTTTGATTTGTTTCAATTTTTAAAATTAAAATCATTATTTATATATGTAAAGTATTAAATATCATATATATGATATTAAATTGCAATAAATAAGTTTCTTCCTTTCTCATTTTAAAATTATACATTAAAAAATATTTTATGTTTACATTTTAATTTAAAATTTATTTTTTTTTAAAATCAACCCGTGTAACACACGGATCTCACACCTAGTATAATAATGATTTATCCTTAATGTAATATTTGTTTAGCAAATTATTGTTGCAAATACAATTAATACGATATGATATTTGTATTTGTTACTTATTAGTGCCATTTTTGCCCATGCAATCCGAGTATGGGAATATTTGTTGTTATAGATCTATCTATAAATATATTTATGGGCTTCCACTATCTACGAAAGAAGAGAAAAGGCACTTACTTTGGAGGTGAAATTTCAAAGCTTTGAGCTAAAGTAGACTATACTGTTGTACATCGTGCAGTCATACTTGTACACTCAGTCCTCGTCCCCTTTACTTTTCACTTTTCAGTCGTACTTGAACTTTGACTTACTAAAGAAAGGTAACTGCTTTTTTTAAATATACAAAAGAACTAGAATCCTTTAACTTGTATTTAGAACAAAACTACACAATATATGATAAAGAGAACGATGTTAAACAAAAGCCAAATCATTTCCAAAATTAAAAAGAAAAAAAACAGATTGAAACTATGATCTTTAATAGAAAGAAAAGTAGCATGCTATAATAAACAAATAAATGAAAATACGTTGCTATTTCTTGCAATTAATCCTACCATCAACAAAACCATAGAATATATTGTACACTTTCACAACCTAAAAAGTCCCACAAAACCCTACCCTTACCAAACCATCTTTAATCCAAAAAAAAAAAAAAAAACAAATCCATCAAACCAAAGTACGTTGCTATTTCCCACGTCTTGTCACTGCGCCTTGACCTTCTCAATCCTCACATACGGCAAAACCCCCACAAAACCTCACCACCTCGGGGCTCCACTCCCTTTGTTGGGCCCTACAAAACATCAAAAACGTATTTGCGAAATACGCATTGAATCCCATGAAGACATGCCACAACGCATGCCCTTGCGGGTTGACCGGCCACTTGGACACCTGCCCGCAAAAAAACCGGTCAACAAACCAACACAAACTACCCGAGAAACAAGGTCGCCACGTAGGATTTGGCAAGGCGTTTAGCGGATGTGTTTTGCGTGTAGATGTAGTATTTGTAGACACGGGGGATACAGAGGAGACAGAGGAGTATGTAATGGAGTTTGAAACCGATATCGAAACGGATTATGGAATGGAGCACTGCGAATGAGACACCGTAGAGGAAGAGGAAAGTAGGCATGGTGCTACGGTAGTGCCAGTCGGGGGAGTAGAGGATGTAGATGTAGAGCAGCATTTCCCATACCATTGGGGTTTCGTCGCTTTGTTGTTGACTGAAACAAAAAGTTATGTTATCGAAATGTATAATGAATTTAATAAAGATTTTGATATTGTGCAAGACTACGGGCATGTTTCGGTTAGCTTTTTTAGCCTAAAAGTGATTTATAAGAAAAGTGCTTATTAGTTTATGGTTTTTAGGAAAAGCTGATTTTAAAAAGTGTTTGGATAAGAAAATATGCTTTTCAGGAGTAAAATGGCTTAAAAAGCTAAAAAAGCTAGGATTTTCCAGCTTTTTAAAAGCTTTACTTTTTCCTATCCAAAAAACTGTTTTAAAAAAGCATTTTTTAAATACACAAACACTTTCTTAGCTTATTAACTTTTTGAAAAGCTAAAAAGGTAATAAACTATTTTAAAAAGTTATCCCAAACACCTACTACAACTTTAATATCTTTAAAATTATGTTATTCAAGTGTACCATCAAATTTATGGTTTTTAGTTCATATAAATACTCTTTCTCTATGTTCCTATGTCGAACCTTTTTGAGCGGGACAAAAAATTGCAATTTCTATCGCAATAAGTGTACTGCACACCAAATACAGTACAACTTGTCTTATCCTGCCAAGCAACCAACAAGAGCTTATGGAAGTATATGTTTTAAATTGCCAACTTAAATTTACGTATTGACCCCAGTGTTCAAAATTTTAAAACTAAAAATATAGAGTCAACTAAAAAAGTTTCTATTTCTTGCATTTAACCCTTTACATAAAGAAAAAACACAAACTTGCAAGAAACTGAATGTTGAAAATAGTTCACTTACACATGTTGTAGTGTGGCATGATACATCATGCTTCCAATAGCAAGTGCCATATTTGATAAGTGTAGAACACTAAATCTCTTCTCAAAACGTTGAATCAATGAACTTAGAAGACCAATGAGTGCCAAAAGAATGCATGGGATGTTTGAGATTGTGTTGAAAAATTCAGCAATGTAAGAAGAATATACATAATTCTTCTCACACCATTCATGTGAAGATGTGACTGGACCCCAAAAACTTGATATACCATCTGCCATATAAATATATATAGATATATATGTTCTCCCTCACCAAGCAAAATGTAGCAAGCTATATCATCACTTTTATAGTGCTGTTTTCACGATTGGAAGCATCAACTGATGTACCTGTAGATAAAGATTCATTATTCAAACCTCAGATATCATCACCCAACAAGAAATAAGATGTTTCTTTTTTACTCAATGGACCTATGATTCATTTTCTTCCTTCTTCTTACATCACATATGTTTCAGACCTTTCAATGTTTTATTTCTTTCTTCATAAACGTATGATGAGAATGTTTCAGCCAGCATTAACTAGTTTGAGATGAATGGGATAGTTATTCTAATGAGTGAACCAACAATAGGAATCAACTAACTAACTACTTCACAACTTAAAATCCCATATAAATTATTCAGTTCAAAATTCGTAGAATTTGAATACCAGGCTCTGGAACTGGGAATCAAGGAAGAGGCAAATTTAACGAGTAAATGAGTTATACTTGTGCGATTATCGAATACTCTACACGAGTTTAGCGAAGATACAACATATATTATCACAAAACCATGATTAAACTATGTCGAAATTTCAAAATTCCATCAGATCCAATCATACAATTTTAATCATGTGACATATATATCAACGAAAGTTGCTAAAACAATCCATAGAGCTGCAATTGAATACAATTTCGAAAATACATAATACTGAGGGAAGAACCCTAGGTGATTGGATTGCGTGAAGATGCAAAAGGGAAAGGGAAAGCAAACCCACCTGTATTAGCATTAGATCGCTGGTTGTTGGCTCTGTGAGTGAAAAAAAAAAATTGGGTTCGATCGGAAGGGATGGATGATAACGGCGACAAGGAAGGACCACTCCTCTTTTGGGGAATTCAAGGTCTGAGAGTGTACCAGTCGGCATATATTTATTATTTCCTAATTTTTTATAATAACGTTCAAAGTTTATTCTTCCAAGTATATTATATTAGATAAATAACACGGAAATTCAATAATCTAAACATTTATATATTGTTATTTTAAAGTAATATGTTAGATTTTTTTTTTAAACATAACTATTTTGTCAATAATGGATTATTTTGTAATTAAATCAGGCCCAACCCATTCCGATTGGGTTTTCCATACAAACCATTACAAATATCATAATCATATTTTAGATTAAGTTGGTAAATATCTGATTCCGATGATTAGAAGATTTTGTGGTTGAGTTTTTGACTCATTTGTTTATAATTGCTTAAATTAGAATTATATTTGTAAATAAGTGGGTTCCAAACCAAAAAAAAACTGGTCAAGAACGTAAAGAATGGGTCTGAAATGTTACCTTTAACTTTGAATGTGTTTAGGTAGTTTTTTAGTATTAGAAATGACCATAATATTATAGAGTTAGTTTTTTTAGTGTCTTGCGTTATTCCACAGTGAAAATTTGTAGTCTAGAACAAACATAACGTATTCTAGAACACACATAACATGTCCGAAATGTCACGAACTACTCTGGAATCCGAAGAACAAGCCTTAAATATTCAACATAGTGTGTTTCGAATGACCAATTATATTCCAGAATTATTTTGAAAATTTGAAATTAATGGTTTCATTATTTGTTTGCAAAGTTTTCCATGCTCCTCTTCAATATCTTGCAAACCTACAATTGTTGCATATATTCTTACTAAACTTAAGGCCCAACCGTCATGCGAGGCTATGTTTCAAAAGACTTGTTATGTTTCAAAAGACGTGTTTTGAGAGTAGAGATGATTTCTTTAGCCAACACACAATTTTCCACAATATGATAAATATCATATGGAAGTGCAAAGCAAATGGTAGCCTTAGCCCTGACATCGAGATTAACCCGTCTCCTTTCATCATGTGTTCACTGATGGGTAGGCGCCCTTTTTGTATTGGATCATTTCCTTCTTTTGTGATGGTTCGCCATGGAACAAATGTGTTGGATTAGGATATATACTTGAATTAAAAGTAAAGTTTTTTTAGGTTGCTCTCAAAACTAATCATTGATTATAATGATTTTTGGAGAGAGAGATTGATTTATTGATTTATTATATGGATAATAAATAGCAATAAGTTATTTTTAATATATTATGAGATTAATATATTAATTAGAAATAGTATTATTTAATTAATAATTAATCAGAAATTAATTAGAATTAATTAGATCAATTAAAAAGTGTAAGGACTTAAGTTGTAATTGTTTAATAGTTGAACAAGTGGGGTTTCAGAACCTTCCATGGGTTATGGACGGTTTTTAGGCGTTTTTTTTAATGATTTTGGATTAATCATTAAAGATAATTAAGGAGTTGGATAATTACCAATTTTGAAATAATAGTATCATATTCAAATTATGGTTTCCAAGACTCTTTGTATAAGCTATAAATATAGCCTCTTGGCTCCTCATTTTCAGCCACCACTTCTACCAAAGGAATAGCTAAAAATTATATTCCCTCTCCTCTCTCCACAAGTGTTCTTATTTTCTAGGGTTTGGTTACAAACCATTAGAGGTATTAGATTTTTGGTGCTTGCTTTTTAAGAGCTTTTTGAAAAAGGATTTGGTTTATTATTTACAATAATAATCAAAAGGTATGTAAACCCTAATCCCTTGTAATTTTCGATTATAGTAGGGTTTCCTTAGGGTTATTGATGTTCATAGATTGTTGCTATCAATAGAGAAAACTTAGATGCAAATAGGTTGCATGTGAACTTAAGGGTTGTAACGTCCCCAAAATTAAGACTAATAATTTTAATTTTTAAGATAATAAAATGTAACGACCCAAAAATCAAGGGTAAAAATTTCATTTTTCATTACAGTCAAAACACGTATATCTTTTTAATCCAAGATTTTCAAAAACATTGATAATTAAAAACATTTATCAGAGTTCATCCCAAAATCATATATTACGGAAACACGGGTGTGTGCGCTGCGATCAAGTCGGACCCTTCCTTTCCAAACCAATGATACCTGAAACCATAAACAAAACTGTAAGCACGAAGCTTAGTGAGTTCCCCAGAGCATACCCCCACATAATCACATAAACCATATTAATCACATAACCATTCATATATACATATAAGGATGCCATGGAAACCTTCCAAGGTCTTATACACATAATCACAAAAATCATATCAACTACACAAACCATGCACATAAACATATAGGGAAGCCATGGAAACCCTCCAAGGTCTTACTCCGGGTGCCATAGGAACCCCCTCATGATCTTAGCCCACTGTCATGGGAACCCCCACACGGTCTTAATTACCTGCCATATAGACCATATATACA